TTAATAATGTCAGAAAAATAACATTTTTGTATTAGAATTTTTGTTGTTACCACAATAATTTCTGTGTAATCGTATTTCAATGTCAAATTATTATCGCCTCCGTTTTATATATTAAATTCGTTAACACAAATATATATTTATTAAATTCGTTTAACATAATTATATCGTTTTTGATATTATGAAGTTAAACATACATAATTCTATTTTTAAAAATTAATTTTCTTTTGCTATTTTTAAAATTATAATTTTTCCTATTTAACTTGTACTTTAAAACATTTTTTCATCACATTATTGAAACTACTTAAAAAATCTGAAGAGAGATTGATTCGTGACACATAACTGTCTGACAATGAAAAATTATGTTTGAAGTTAAAAATATGTAAATGTAAATCTTTAAAAATAAGTTAAATTATTGGTAATTATGAATAATCTTAAAATATCTAATTTTTTTTATAAATGAATATAATGAAATAATCAATATAATCTGAATTATTTAGATAAATATCAGATTATTGACTGTATAAAATGAAAAATTTTTGTAATCAAGAATTAAAGAAATATAATTACTGTATGCTTTAATATATAATTCTAATATCTAATATTAAAACAAAACGTTCGCATTAGAACGTTTTTCCATCTGACATTTAATGTTTTAATGATTTATAATCATATTAACTATACATATTAACTAAGAGAAAATATCTAGAAAATTAAAATACAAGATTCAGAATTGAATTACATTGAATCCTTTTTAAAAAAAATAATATCATATAAAAAAAAAATAATATAATATAATATATAATATACATAATGTAATATATATATATATATATATATATATTATAGTAATATATATATTACTATTTAATATAATAATAATATAATAATATATTTCATGTTATATTCTTTATGTAAATATTTTCAAATTCATATTATTCTATTACAAAAAATATTTCAAAGCGAAATTAAAATATAAAAATTTAAAATATAAAAATTTAATAAATGCTAAATATACATGGTAAGGCACCTAAAAAAAACTATTTGAATATTTATCTTGGTTGTTTTTAATGATAGAAAAAAATATATTAGGAATAAAGTTGTATCATACATAATTTAATGTAAATAGTTTTTTAATAGGTAAATACGTACAGTCATTTAAAGATAAACTTTGTTTTTTTCTTTTGAAAATGGAATATATTGTTTTTTATTATCTATTAGATATTTTATAAGACAAGAATTTATGTGTACAAGAATTTATGATTCATCATTTAACTACAAAAGAAAATATTTTATTTTATATGAGAGATAAGATTTTGTTAATGCTGCAATAATATACAAACAAATACTTTATGTTTCAATATTCATTTCATATCAATGAATTTTATTGTTAGTTTATGACATTCTATTTATCTATATTTGTCTTTGTATTTTTTAAAATACAAGTATTATTCAAAACTGAAAAAAAAATAGATATAATTTATATTCATCGAATTATGAGAAAAACAATGCATTTATAGAAAATTTACAGAAAAATTTTTTAAAGTACAATCTTTATGTGTTATAAGGAATTTTCAAAGAACTGAATAAACATACTTAAATAAATAAAATATTCGAATGTTTATATAAAGTAAATTTTTTTGCATGACCTTGAATCATGGATCATTTTATGTGTTTTAAAATATTTTATTAAATGTGTAAAAAACATCATTTCCTTTAAAAAAGCAAAATTAATTTTTATATGACTTTTAAATATTCACCTATCAAAAAACTATGAAAATTAAATTATATGTCCTCGATACAATATAAGTTTCTTCTGATGTATATTTTTATAATATAATAACTGAAATATTCAAGTAATTTAGATTTGTCTTATCCTATATATTCAAACTTTTATAAAAAATAATATATAAAAACTGTGATAGATTACAAATCTATAAACTTCAACTGAATATGAATTTTAATGTAAACTATTTAAATATTAATTCAATTTCAATACATTTCTAATAATTAATTATTAATTTATAATTAATATAATATTAATTTATATTATATTTTATGAAAATTATTAATTTTATACGAAATTTACAACTTTTTTAACACTAATTTATTAATTCATGAAGATTATTTATTAAATTTATTAATAGAATTTATTATTTTACTATATTTTATTATTTTATTTTATATTTATATTTTATTATTTTATTATTATTTTACTATATTTTTGCATCGGAGAATATTTCAATTTATAGATTTTTATCTTATTTAATTAATTTTCTGAATATGTAACAGCAATTTATGTTATTACACATACATATATATTTATGCACACGTATATAATACATATTTTTATTTACATTGAAATTTGCAACCATTGTAAAATTGGCTGAGAAATTTATTAAGATTTTTTGTTGTTATAAAAAATGCTTTTTATATTATATTTATATTATCTCTAAAATAATAAGAATATAATAATAATTCAATTTCTAATTTTTTATTTTTGTAATAAAATATTCATTAATTTATTATTATCGATTACTGTTTTAAAATAATAAGATATCTATTTGATAATATAGAATTATAAATTTACAATATTCCATTATTTAATTTTATATTAAAATTCAGTTTAATTCTGTGTTCAATTTTAATTTTTCTGTTTTATTCATACATACAGTAAGAACGAAAATACAATATCTTAAAAAAATTGGCATAATTAAAAAATTTTAATCTTAATGAAAATTTGTATGTAGAGCATAATGAATTATATATAATTTTATCGATCTCTTTAAGAGAGTGAAATTAATCTATAAAAAATACTAACATATTTTTAAAATACAAGTATATATATTTTTAAATATAATTTTGTTTGAGAATTTTTTTAGAACAATAGAGCACTAAATTATGAATATTTTGTAATTTAAATATCTAATTTGTTTCATCTCGTACCATTATAGAGTTATAAAAAAATTTAACTGCATTAAAAGTTTGTGTGATTTTATGTGCTTAAAATGATATTAAAATGCTTATAATGATTATATGCTTAAAATGATTTATTAGTAAAAAAAAAATTGCATTTATAATCCATTATGTTCTACATATTCACAAAGTTTCATTAAAAATAAAAAATTTATTTAAAAAATAAAAATTTATTTATTTTTAGTATGTATAATATAATGTATAATATAATTTAGTATGTATAAAATAATATATAAATATGTATAACATAATAATGCAATTTTATATATAATGCAATTTTTTTAAACAAAATATCACTTGAAGAAGAAGATGAAATCAAAGTTTCATATTTAATGTTTTTTTCGTTTTTAAAAAAAAACTCTTTAAAATAGAAAATTTTAAATTACAAAATATTCAAAATTTAATTTTTATTATAAAAATAATATCGAGAAAAAATAGTATTTAAAATTTGAAAAATATCAAAATTTTATGGATTGATTTCATCTTTTCAAATTTTTCATCAATAAAAATATTGCTTCATATATATATAATCTATTAAACTCTACACATGTATAAACTTCAATTAAAATTAAGATTTTTGGATTATAAGTAAATTTCTCTGTAAGATAATGTTCGAATATTTTCGTGAATTATTGTATATTTTTCTCTAAAGGAAATAATTATTTATATAATTTATTTTATAATTTATTTTGTATAATTATTTTGTAATTCAATTTTTTATTTATAATATATAATTCGCCTTTTTTTATATTAATAATTCAAATTAATTAAAATTCGAATCTCTTTATCATTGTTTTTTGTCTTTATCTTAATTATATTTTTAGAAAGTAAAAGATTTTGAATTATGTGATTGTTGAAACTCCAATTTACAAAAATCTTTGATACCATGTTAATAAACAACGTATAAATTTTGATCACAATATCTCCAAAGTGCTGCAATTGAGTGTGAAAGCGTATAGTTTTCAAGTATGCAGTGTAAAATCTTACGTGGCTGAGTTGAAAATGTTAATTTTGGATGAAGAAGTCGATAGGTTCTTTTGTTCATTTTCTGCGTATGCATTTCATTCGCATCTGCAACATCAATGATAAATTTTTCGCTCTTTTTTTTATATTATTTTATGTTGACTTTGAATTAATACAGCGTTTTCGGTCACGATGATTTTATTAAAATTTTATACATGAAAATATTTAATATTTATATATAATAGCAAAAAAATCAATAATTAGTTATTAATTATAGATTATTTTCTATCAAGATTTAAATATTTATTTTTTGACAATATTTAATAATAATAATATTTAATAAATTACATATCATTTGAAATCTTTCAGAATTTAAAAAATTTTGCATTTTAAAATTTTTTATTATATATTTATATTTTTTGTAATTCGAAATTCTCGAAATTTCAGTTAAATAATATATTTATACAAAAATTAAATTAAATTTTTAATAAATTAAAAGATATAATTGTTATTATTGACTAACTATGAATTATATTAACTTGAGTTTGAAAAATTTCAGAAATCAAATTTTGTTAAAATTATGATTTTTGAATGAATAGATATAAAATAATTATTAGAAAAAAAAAAAAAAAAAAATAAGTATAAGCATTCTAGTTTTGAGAGTTTTGAAAATTTTGAGACCTCATAGATTTAAATTTCGCAAATCTAAAAATCAGATTTCAATCTCCAATAATATTATATTTTTATATTTTGTAATATATTTTTTAATTTTTTAAATCTTTTTTTTAAAATAAATATTAAACTATATTAAATACGTTATCATTTCAAGTAAATAAAAACTTTCACCTTAAAAATTATGGTGTGTCCTTAGAATTTAACTAATTTTGAAAAATATTCTAAAAAAAAAAAATTGAGAAACATTGAATTAATGCAAAGTAAATTTTTTTGAAGGATAATGCAAATTTAAACGATTTTAAATATTTGCTAAATAATACGTTTATTTTGTATTCAAAGTCTTTACAGATATATTTCTTTAAAAAAAAGTACTTATTTCGAATGGAAAAAACCGTAGCGCGTTAATTATATCTAAATCTTGGAAATTATTACTATTTAGTATACCCTTTCTAAATCTTTGGAGATTTACGAGTATGATAGACGAATGAATATAACTAACGAGTAAATAGAAGCAGTAGATAAAGATTTGCCTCCTAATGAGTTTAATTGGTTTCCTTCGTTAACGAAACTCATAATCTATAAAATATGCATCGTTGTGTGATAATGGAATCATTTATTTGTGTCACAGAATGCATATAATGCATATAAACTTTTTCTTATGTATATTTATCCTTACGACCTCAACTTTGCTCTTTAAGTAAATTAAATTAACCAATTTAATATAATTATTCTTAAGATAAGAAGATATTGCTTGCCATAAATATATTTCTATCAACTCACTATTAATAGCTGTTCCGAAACTCTTATTATAATAAAAATGTTGAAACGAAAATAGATTAAGTTTTTCTGATCAATATCTTATCAATGATGATCAAATATAATATAAATTTTTATTATAAGAATTATATATGCATATCAAAATAATAATATAAAAAGAAATAAAAAATAAAAATTGATAATTTATTTAATTATCTATATATAATTAAATATTCAATGTTTTCGAAGATAATTCGATCTCTTATTTAAACGAATGTTAGAGCAAAGTAGATTAAAATTGGAAGAAATAAAGTAATGCCGTGTCGAATTGAATAGAGCCGAGTTGAATTGTATACCGTTATATCGATATTTAATGAACCTTAACGATACCTCCGGTACCATAAGCACCCGCTAATAGAGCTTGCGTACCATAGAGGGAGCCTGGTCTTAATCCGAGACCAACGCCAAGACCTACTAATCCTGTATTAGCGGCGACTACGTTTGTCGTAGCTACTGCTGGCCCAGCAAGCAACGGTTGTCGCAGTAAGGGAGTACTTAAGAGGGCAGCCTATGAAAAAAAATGATAAAAAGTTAACTATAAAAATTAAAATTAATAGATTTAATTTGACGAATGACTATTTGTAATAATAGGATTGAAGAAAATTTGAAATGAGTAAGAATGAATTAATCGAAATTCTTTGAAATCCATGAAATTTTGATTTCTTGAAGCTTGAAAATAAATTATAATTTGAAATTTTAATTTCAAATTAATTTAGATAAAGAATTTTATTTTTGAAATTCTAATTTAAAATTCAAGTAAAAAATAACTAGCATAAAAATTAAATTTTTTATCTAAAAAATAATTTATTGTTATTAGGATAGTTAACGAATTTGAAGAATTTCTAGAAATTAAAATTTTGACAAATTTTAATAAATAATAAATTTAATAAATTTTTAATAAATTTATATTTTAATAAATTATAAATTTATATTTTAATAAATTTAATATTTTTAATTTTTAATAAATTTTTTTAATAAATTTAAATAAAGGCTTAAAAAAAGGCTGTTTTGGATTCTGAAAATTTCATAAATCAGAATATTAAGTTCTGATCTATCTAAGAAAGAAGAAATAAGTTAAAACGAATAGAAAACTGAAATATTTTTATAATCAAATATTGCTGGAATATAATGTTTCATTTAATCTTTAAATTACAGACAAATATAATTTTATTTTTATATATTTTAATTTTATAATTTTATTTGTTTAAGTAATAGCAGCCATCTTGAAAGTATCTCGAGAACTAAGATCGATCGACGATTATATAAAATCTGAATGTAAAGAAAGGAATGTAAAGAAAAAAATTTCTTAAAAAAACAATAAATAAAATAAAATTTTTTCCATAAAAACTTTGTTTTTGAAGAAATCAAATTTGGAAATTTTTCGATCATAAATAAAATACGAAAATTAAATACGAATGAATTATCAATAGAAATTATATTATTGTTTATATGAAAATAAATAAAAATTATATATTTAATTTTATCTTGTTTAAAAATTAATTATCGAAAATACGAATTTTAGAAATCATCCATTATATAACTTTGACAATATATATTTAATCTCAATTTTTTTAAAAACAAGAAACAATATTTAATATTTAAATAATGAAATTTCATTTTACATTTTTTGTTTATTTTTACGTGTAGAATAATCTCTTATCAATAATTCAAAAATTAATTAATCAATTTGAAAAAGTTTTTAATCTTGATTTTTTCGAAAACGAAATCTTAAATAAAAATATTTTGTTTTATTTTTTCTCATTTTTTCATTATTTTGTACTTTTATTTGAATTCTATAGAAAAACTATAGAAAATTATAGAATTATAGAAAAACTATAGAAAAATTTATTCAAAATTTTCTTTTTAAAAATTTTCTTTTTAAAAATATTTAAAAATTATCAAAATCTATCAAGATATTATATTTCATCTTTTTTTCTATATTTCAAAAATATTTCTATATTTCTATCTATTCTATATTTTTATATCTTTCAAAATTCTATACTCTATATCTTATTTTTTTATATTTTAAAATTCATTTTTCTTTCTACATTTCAAAAATCAATTTTCCCTAACCCTGAGGCAAAATAAATAAAAAAAAAATCGCACGTAATATACCTGTGGACGAACAGCTACAGTAGGCGCAGCTGTGGCAATAACCGATGTTGGTCGTGCAATCACGGGAGATGCGACAACAGGTCGCACGGCTGCCGCGACAGGAGCAACCGGTGTTGCAGCGATTGCAGTCTTGACCGTGATGCTAGGGTCTTTCTGAACAACAGCATTGAAACCATTGATAGGATCGGCAGCATACGAGACCACTCGACGAGAACCATCTGGTTCTATCAAGCTATAACTACCTTGAACCACGTCGCCGTTACGAGTTTCCTCTTGTGCTTTGTTGTCACCTTTAAATTGTGTAAAATTAATTCGTTAGTAAGTTCTCATATTTCTTTGTCTTTCTTCATCTATCTTAGTGTTTCTCAATCGATTCGTGTCATACGAAAAGAAGATTTCATTAAAATTTTACTTGATATGAAAATATTTAATATAGAAATATTTTAATATTTGAATTTTTGCCTATTTAGTGTTAGTTAGAATTCCTATTTTCAATTCTTGAAAATGGAACTTAATAATGAGTTTTAAATATATCAAATTATGAGATAAAATATTAAACGAAATTTGACATCCTTTATTTAATTAATTTTGATTTTTTATTTAAGTTGATTTATCTAGATTTGGATTTTAAAATAGATATGACTAGTTATATTTATAACTAATAAAAGTCGGTCAATGTGATAATTAAAAATAATAGAATAATGTCATTAATAATTAGCTATCGAAATATTGATTTTTTGTTAATATCATAAATATTTTTAATTATTTAATTATATAGTATATAGTTTTTAAATACATTTTTCTTTTTTAAATAAATAATAAATTATAACAAGTATCAAAATGTATTATTATTTCAAGTAAATAAAAAGATTATGTATATCAAATTGGGAAAAGCTTAAAAATGTACTTCTTATTCTATAAAAAATTAAGAAATAGAATGAATATAATGTTAAATAAATTGATGGAAAAGTTGTCATTTTTTGAATTTATGTTATGATATTGTTATTGTTATCTTATATTCAAAAAATATTTTATTCTTTTAGAAAATGCAAATTAAATAGTTAAATAATGAAATAGTTAAATAAATGCAAAATAAAATAATTTATATTTTCAACTAAATTAAATTAAATTAAATTAAATTATATAAATTGAAAAAAAGTATAGTATAATTATTTTTGAAATAAACATTTAACATATTTTTACAAAAAATATTGTGAATATTAACACAAATATAATAAATTACAAATATATATTAGTAAATAAACATAATAATAATAATAAATATATATTAATATATATATAATATATATAATATAAATATACATAATAATAATAAATATATATTAGTAAATTTATAAAATTTGAATATCGAACGAAAAGATAATAGAAATAAATGATAAAATGTTAAATCTCTCTTAAATCTCTCTCTCTCATATAACATTTATAATAAGTTCGTATGATTTAAAAAGTAGATATATATATAAATTGATTTGTTTTTGTATTCACAAAATCAATATTTCTTTTCTTTCAATTTAAAACATTAATATATAAATTGTCCTCTAAAATTTTGTACATAAGAAAAACTTTTTTCTTTTCTCTTTCTTTACGTTGCAATAATATCTTGAATCCTGAATTTTGCTTTACAAGTTGATTATCGTTATTATCATTATTTCTTAGATATACATTTTAAATAATTCCTGTTTATAAGAATGTAAATTCATTAAAAAATAAAATTATCAAACATTGCTCTTGAGAATATATAATATATAATAAATAAATATTATATTTAGAATGAAAATTATTTTAATGCAATATGTACTTGTGAAAAATATTTATAAAATTTAGGATAGTTTTTTTCTCAAATAAATTCGTATGATAAAAGACAAAATAGAATTCTTTAATATATATATTATAAAAATGTTAATATATATATTTATGGAAAATTTTTAAAAGATTTTAAATATCGAAATATAGTATAATAATTAATTAAATAGTATAATAAATATTATAATAATTAAAAAATGTAAATTGAGATTTATTTATTAAGTTATAAATAATTTAATTTTATACTATAGAATCGCCTAATATTTTATACTATAGAATCGTAAGTAAACAAATATAATACTAACAATAGTTTGCCTAGCTAAATCTTGAGAATAATGTTAGTATTTATATCAATAATAATCTTAAATATGATATATTCATATTATTTTAGATGAATGTTAAATGAAACTGTTTGAATATAAAAAGATACATACGATACATACATATTATTATAAAAAAAAGAATTTTTATTATTTTTTATTGTAGAATATAAAACTTATGTAATTTTTTATTTATCAAAATTGAATCAGTTTTGTTAATAAAAATAAATCACATGAATTTCATAATTTCATAAATCTATCTAATAAAAACAAAGATAATTATTTTGTCTTTCTATTCATATCATGCTGAAATGAAATTCTTAATATAGAAATATTAAGAACTTATAAATTGATTACTTTCAGTTTCAACTTTATGATTAGAATAAGAAAAGATATTATTATTATTATTATTATATACTATTATTTATCTTTTTTAATATTTGGAAACTATAAAAACCAATCAATAAAATTTATATTACATAAAAATTTCTTTCTTATTTAAGATTTCAATTAATAAATCAATTAGCTTATTAAATTATTGAAATAGTTATTTAATTGATTTACCAATTAGAGGTTTAATATAATTTAATAATAAAAAGATTTTTAAAATACTTAAATCATTTTCAAAGAATTCGACTTATACTTAAGTTTTTGAATTCTCCATTTAAGCTTATAATTAACCATTCTTAAGTAGTGACTATTTGATCAGATAAAAGAGGTACATACCCGTAAGACCATCAGCCACGCTATAACTGAAACTATATTGAGGATTCGGATCGAAATTTTCGGTTCTAACAACAGCCGCAGTTGGTGGTAGCGCTGCTGCTACTGTGGCTCCACTGGGAGTGATTATTCCTGCACTTGGTCCGATTATTCCTGCATGAGTGACAGTTAGGATAGCAGCCAAGTACCCAATAATCTAAATGAAAAATAAATTAATCAAACAGTCTATTTAAATAAATATATTTAAATTTATATTCGTTGATATGTATAGTTAGAATAGTAACCAAATACCCAATAATCTAAATAATCTTGCAAAATATGAATTATCTATATAATTATGTACAATAGTTGTGTACAACATTCGGATACCAAGATTGTATAAGAAATTAATAATCTATATATATATTAATATATTTATGAAACATTTTTAGAAGTTTAAAAGCCAAAAAAAAAAAAAAAATAAATAAAACTTGGTATACAAAAATATCGAGGATTTATTTATGAAGTTATAAGTAATTTCAGTTTAGTAATTTAAAAATTACTTTATCTCTGTTTCACTTCATCTACAAATTTTACTATAACTTAATAAATAGATCTCAATCGAAATTTCTATATACCAACAGAATCGATTTCTCAAAGATGTTTCTGTAATATCCTATATATTTTCCTTATAATATTATTAAATTAGTTGGTTTTTTATATATTAAATATTTATTGTAATTAATATAAATATAGATTTATTTAATTCATTAAATAATTCAATAAGAAATAAATTAAATAATGAAGAAATGTAACACATAAATAATATAAATATTTTATGTTTACAAATACTATTATTATTTATGATAATAATTATAAGCAATTATAATTATATTTGAATATTTTTTAAGATTTAAAATTTTTCCAAAATATATTGTGCAAGATTTTAAATTTTTCCAAATATATTATATAAATATTAAATAAAACTATATTTTTATTAACAGTTAATATTTTAATATATAAATATAGTATAACGAAAAATCAATTTATAAATTACAGTATCATAAATACTATAGAGTAATAATCTCTTATATACCTTGAAATTCGAATATTAATCAATTATTATATTGGATTTAAAAAAGAATTGAAATTAAAAAAGAAAAAAAACAGAATAAATAATTACTTTATAATCCATGACGATTAAAAAGTCAATGACGTTCTGACTATCCGTGTAACAACTGGGTACCGTTGCTTTTCTCCAGCGAGGATTTTATACCAATTGGTATCGGTTGACCCCGCCCTTTCTTCGGAGACACCAGTACCACCCCACTGCGACTAACTTGCATTCTCCTAAGAATATGCTATAACTTCATTTGCTGAATATAATAGACCATATTATTTTTATTAAGAGAATTCTTCTTCTATACAAATTTCTTAATTAAAATATTTATAAAATTTCAATCTATCAATTCAATTTTTTTTTTTAGATTTTCTGTTTCGAAGAAATTATGTGGAATTTTATGATATTTTGTTATCTTTGTAATGAAGAATTATAATAATTTTGAATAATAATAATGAATTTATTTTATTATAATTGGCATTATGATGGTTGGCATGATGTACTATTGATGATTCTTAAATTATAATATGAGAACTGTGATTTTTTTTAAAACTTTTAAGCTTGTTTTTATATAACGATGCAGCAGACATCGATTTTAATGATAAGTTTAAATCAATGATTTAAATGATTCATATATAGTGAGACACTAAAATCATTAAACATCACTCTGTCACTTTCAGTTTTGTGTCAGCTATTAACTTAAATTTATCACTTGAATCAATAATGCATTGCAATATCATAATTTCAATATGTGTAAAAGTCTTTTCTATAGCTCATATTACTTTCTTTTTATAAAATTTGATTTAGGAAAACAAATAACAAAACAAATTTATAATATCTTTATTTATAGTATCTTTATTTTCAGAAAATAATTGAAAATTGAGAATTTTATATTTTTCGAATATTTGAGTATTTTTGATATATGACTTCTATTATTTTAAGGTTTAGATACCATTTATGTTTACATATTATGTTACATATATGTACATATATTATATATACTTTATTATTTATTTATTATATATTATACTTATATTATATAATTATAAATTATAAAATATATAATTATAATAATTATAAAATATTATTCACATACACATTAATTTATATTTGTACATGAGATTTCATATATAAATAGTATATTATGTTATATTTATGTTTTGCATTTTTAAAGAATTAATTTCATGTACATCATTTACAAAATTCAATCTTCATATGTTTAATTAACAAGTAATATTATTAAAATCAATAATTTTATTTTTCATGAAATTGTACAATTAAATAGAAGATAATGAATTATAAAGAAAATTTTTTTATTAGCATAACTTTTGAAAACTCAACATTTAAACTTTCAATATTTTTTCGTTTTTTAAATATAATTTTGTTATGAAATAAAGCAAAATTTTATATTATAAAATGTTTTTCACCTTTTAATATTCTATTATTTTATCGTAAGAAATATTTTCAAACAAAATTATATTTAAAAGATAAGAAAATTTGAAGATTAATTTCACATATTCAAAATATTTTATGGAAAAAAAATTACATATTAGATTCAATTGGATTAGATTTAAATCTAATTTTAATTTTTGTAATTTGTATTTTTAAACATTATAAACATATTTGCCATTTAAACAATTTACAATAGATAACAAGTAATTTGTTTTTGTAATTAAAAGAATATTAAGTGATATATATATTACCATTATTAATATTACTATTACTATTTATACTATTTATAATCATATTTATATTTAAATCTAATTTTAGGTTTACTATGATTTCTACGATTTATATTATATTTCAATGTGATTAAAATTATTATAATGGTATATATATTTAAATCATTATTATAATGATTTAAATTATTCAATTTTTTTTTACTATTTTTTTTTTTTATTGTATTATAATGGTTAAGCATTGTTATAGATAAGAATTGTAAATAAGAACTGCCTCTCCTAATAACAATTCTTTGTTTAGACATATTATCTAATCAATTCTTTTTTGTAAACTACAATTAAAACAATTTAATTTTGTTTAAAAGTTTAAATAATTTTTTGCAATTGTATTTTTAAAATATTAATTATAGAATTATTTAATAAAACTCATTATATTTTTTATATATACAAATTTTCATTAAAATCAAATTTTTGAATTAAGTGAAGTTCCTCACAAAATATATAATATGCAAATATACAAATATATATATATATATATATACAAATATATATATTAATGGACATTTGATATTATAATAGAATTAATTAAGAAAGTTTTTATTAAAAAAAAGATATATGTATACTTATAAAAAACAATAAAACTTTTTACTATCTAAATTATTAAAATTTTAAAAATAGCATAAAAAAAATAATGAATAGTGATAAAGAAGTAAAAAAGAATATATATTATTCAAACTCTTATAACATATTAATTGTTTAATTTTATTAAAAAGAAATATTATTTTTATATCTTGTGAAAAATTGACACATACTATTGACAAAAATGATGAATTTTGTACCCATCTTGTCTAATAAATAAATTAATTTTTCATTATTATTATTTTTCAAAGTGGAGTGAATTCGTTATAATTGCTATTTTCATTATTATAATGAATATTTTTTCCGTTTTTCTATAAATTTTATGAAATATAACATATGTTTTTATTTTAGTCATTCATCATCATATTCGATAATTATTATCTATTTTTATCGTTTAAAATCAAGATAAACAAATAATTTACATGAAAATAAAATTTTTTATAATCCAAAAAAATAATTATTACTATTGACTGATTATAAGTTCGAAAAATTTCAGAAATAAAAATTTGTTAAAATTTTAATTCTTGTCAAAATAAATATTTTTTTCAGAAAAAAAAAATAAGCATTTTAGATTTCGAAAATTTCTAATAGTTTAGAAAGTAAGTTTTCACAAATAAATATTTGTTCGTATACGAGCTTTGCAAAATTTAAAAATCTAATTTCTAAAAATCTATCTCAACAAGTATTGTGATGAAAATCGATGAAAAATACAATCTACAATAAAATATCGAATTATGGCGTCCTAATTACAATAAGATGACTAGATCGCCGAACAAGTAATACAATACTTTTGATACTCTTTGTATACGTAAGATCGCAGGTCAGTTGATACTAATGTGAGCCAATAATTGGTATTGTTGCGACATTGAGCTACGAAATCTGCGGGCACAGTGGAGATGGATCGCATTGACGGTGTACTATTCGCGCGTTTCCTTCATATGGGTCACGTAACCCTAGCAGTGCTTCAAGGAATCGCGTGACATCGAGCTCTCAATTTGCGTAACTCTATCGTATTTACTACAATTCGATCTGCTATGCACAGATGAACAATCCATTGCCAGAAGTTGGCATTAAAAAAGTAATTAATTAAAATTTTGAGTAATGTTTTAAATAATAACTTTATTTAAAAAAGTTATGAATAATATTTATTTATAACTATTGTAGTTGATCTTCTTTTCATATAATTTAAGCCATTTGATACTATATAATTATTCAATGTTTTGAATAATAAATTATTGAAGTAACTTTTATTCTTAACTAGTAATAGATAGAAAGAAAATTATTTATATCGATCTGAAATATTTTTGTTAAAATTTTTGCAATAACGTCATTATATGTCTCATCTTTATAATGCTAGTTCGTAATACACTCTATGTCATATACACATGCGTAGTTCAATGATTGCAAGCAACGTTTTTTCGATTCCAGACAGCTGTTTAAGAGCGGCAGTTTTTTGGTTAACGCAAGAGCGGGAATTTTCTTTCATGAATATAAAAGAACAATAGCTACTTCGAATAAATATGTAAGATGCGAATCCATTAATGGCTCAACGTTCAAATATTGCATACTAGTAAATAATATAACAATGTCTATTATATTTTTTATTCTATATAATCATATTAATAATATATATTAATAATTCTATATATATATTATAAATTCTATATAATCATATTTATAATCATATTAATAATTATATTGTCAAATAGAACTAGTATTTAACGATGATGTAGTATTTTTGATGAGATTTATTTATCTTTTTCAATAAAAAAATTTTCTAAAATGTATTACAATAATAAAAAAAATTTCTTTAAAAAAATTTCTAACGATAACATTTTTTTTTAAGAATTTAGAGAAGCAGATTTTAAATGTTTTTTAAACAAAATAATATTTGAAAAATAAATCTAGATGATAGTGACAGAAATAGAGCTATCTCATTTTATTTCTGTCTCGCTTCGTTTAATATTTTATTTTATTTAACTTTATTTAATTGTTTATGACTCAATAAATAAATCTTAATATTTTTATATATTATCTTTTGGATCGTTATGTGTGTGAAATAAAGAGATATATATAGATATATTATATCTCATTTTATTTTTCGTTTTATTAACGTTTTAAAACTTTACTCATTTGTTAATAAAAAAATTTTCACAGTCATTCTCAATAAATCAATTTTTTGTGTTTTGTTTCAATTTTTAATATATTTCATTTTTTAGTATATTTTCATTTAGTATAGTATTTTCATTTCATTTAATATATTTACATTTAATATATATTGATTTCTAATATATTCATTCATTATTGTTCAACAAATATATTAATTTGTAATACATAATATATCCTGTAAAATTAATATGTTAGAAATTAAAAATTCTATATAAATTCTATATATTGTATCAATTTCTCATTTAGTAATAGATAGAAAGATGTAAAAAGAACAATAATATTCTTTATCGAATATTTTTTATCTATTAGTTATAGCAATACTATTGATTCTGACTATTGGTATTATATTATATCAAAATTATATCAAAAATATTTATAGACATTAATGAAACATTTAAAAAAACTATTAAATACTGATTAACATTACATTTAAAAAGATCAAATTAAAGATTTAAAAAAAAAAACATTAGTTTGTATAGGAAATATTTATATTATAACTTTAAGATAATAAGAAAAACTTTAAATTTCGAAAATTATTTATTATTTATGATGATATGATTATATTATATTGTTTATAAAATATAATATATATAATTCATCGATATATATAAATATTATTTTAATATAATTTTATATATATATA